GTTATAGAAGAGAAGGTGAAGAATAGTCATAGAGATGATTTCTTTGTAGAGAGGAGACTCCCAGTTGTGTGTTCCCGCCAAGGGGAGCTTCACAAAAACTGCTAGAATAGCTTCACCTCTATCTCCTGTACTGTGAGAGTCACCAGGACTGGAATCTGACTCATGTTGGAAGGTTTAAAGTGAGAGGGAGGCTATGGTTAGAGCAGCCCCATGTGGCTGTGGGGAGAGAGACAGGGCTTCCTTGGGAACAGCATCCTCTTCCAGGGTGCGGGGACCAGGGCTGTATGTGCCAGTATTTAGATACTGTGGAAGGCAGTTGGGCCCCCCAACTGTCTTGAGGGAGTCTGCATCTTAGAGGATTGCTCTGAGGTCAAAGAGACAGCAACATCAGAGCAGAGTGGGAACGGGAACTCAGGGGCTGAGCAGGAAGTTGAACAGCACCTGTTGGAGGAGTCCCACAGCATCAGGGGAACTACTGAGAAGAGGTCCTGTGTGTAAGTATGTGTACGTGTGTGTGTGTGTTTGTCCTGAGAAGTGGTCTCTGAAGAGCCTACCAAAGTCCTCCACAAAACAGTTCTCCTTGAGCTCTGCTCAAGTCAGTGAGCACCCAAGCAGGAAGACAACTAGCCTTCCCACTTGTCCGCCTCTCATTCTTATCCCCCCTGAGGGCCCCACAGTATAGCAGCAACTAGACCAAGGAAGAGGAAGGTGTCCACATGTCCTGTGCTTCCCCCTACAAGTTTTCTGGCCTCGGGGCCATCTATCCCACGGATGGAGGAAGTGGGGGATTGGGTGGGGCTGAGGAGAGTAAAACTGCATAAAGAATCAAGTTTTAGTATTAAATTTGGCCAGATATTCTATTGCCCAAAATGCTTAGCGGGATCAAAAATTTTTATGATAAAATGTACATAATACAAAATTTACCATTTTAACCATTTTTAGGTGTACAGTTCAGGGACATTGTTGTGCAACTGTCACCACTATCCATCTCCAGAACTTTTTCTTCATCTAAAGTGAAACTCTATACCCATTAAACAATAACTCCCCATCTCTCCTCCCCACCAACCCCTAGAACCACTATTCTAATATCTGTCTTTGTGAATTTGACTATTTAGGTGTAATTCATATAAGTGGAATCATACAATATTTGTCCTTTTGTGAATGACTTATTTCAGTTAGTATATTGTCTTCAAATTTCATCCATGTTGTAGCTTGTGACAGAATTTCCTTTTTAAAGGCAGAATAGTATTCCATTTTATGTATATACCACATGGTGTTTCTCCATTCATCTGTTGATGGACACTTGGGTTGCTTCCATGTTTTGGCTGTTGTGAATAATGCTGCTATGATCATTGGCCTACTAGTTTCTGTTTGAGTTCCTGTTTTTGATTCCTTTGAGTATACACCTAGGAATGGAATTGCTGATTGTAGTCATGTGCTAATTCTGTTTAACCTTTGTGTAATTGCCAAGCTGTTTTTCTCAGCAGCTGTACCATTTTGCATTGCCACCAGCAAAAAAGCACAAAGGCTCCAATTTCTCCACATCCTTGCCAATAATTTAGAGGGCTTTTTATTACCTAGGCTGACCTGAATATCTGCAGGACCAACCCACGATTTCCTTCAGGGACTTGGAAGAGCAAGCTGGGAGAGCTAGTGTGAAGAGCTGAATGGAATGTAACTGAGCAGGACTTTTCCAGGACAGACCTCTCCCCCATGTCCTCTGTTTTAGTTCCTCTCTGAAGTATCTAGATAACAGTGTCTGATGCACATTTCCTGGGTTGTTGCAGAGGCTAAAACCACCACCAAAAGGAAGACACTAACTACTTGATGACCATGAACCCAGGCCTACTGAAGCCTAAGGATTGACATTGTTAACCCTTGTGACACCGCCCTGTTGCCTAACCATCAACCAATTGGAGGATTGTGCACGAGCTGATCACATCCCCTGTACCTCCTTTCCCTCAGCTTGCCTTTAAAAATGCTTCCCTGAAAGCCATCAGGGAGTTCAGGTGTTTTGAACACTAGCTGCCCTGCTCTCCTTGCTTGGAGCCCTGCAATAAACACTGCACTTTCCTTAACCACAACCTGGTGTCAGTAGATTGACTTTACTGCATGTGGGTAAGCAGACCCTTAGGATAGCTACCTTCTGCTTGCTCTCTACATCCTTTGGGGTCCAGTTTGGAAGCAGTCAAATGGCTTGACTGTTGGGAAGTGGCTGAGGCTGGTCCTGTTTCCTCTGTCTACAAAAACCTAAGGCAGCAGGCTTTGCTCCTTAAAAACTGAGAGCAAGGATGGCCCAGAGCTTTGGATCACATTCTACCTCTTTTTATCTTCTGTGCCTGCAGGTGGGCAAAGTGAGTAAAACCACGGCCTGCAAGTGAGTTCTTTACTTTGTATGGATTTGTCCTTTCTATTCTTCTCAAAAATCAGTATTAAAAAATAGGAAGAGTTACAGAGCTTGACCCCCGTGACTCAGAGGTTATCAGCCCTCTTTTTCAGAGCATTTGTTGTCTTCCTCTTATCAAATGGATAGTTTTGAAGTCAGAATGAAGACTGCTAAAACCTGTGACTTAAATGTTCATGGTTTCTTCCCCTCTCATTGTCCAGCTCTGTCTTCCTTGGAGCTTCCTGTTGAATTCACAGTGGTACCTAGATGCCATGTCCTATTTCCTCAGCTTTATCAATGGTGAAGATTAGTTCTAATTTAGCCCTTTTTATGAACTTACTAATTTGTTCATAAAATGTGTTCATAAACTTCTACAGCCATAGTCCACAGTTAAGCAATTAAAGATAGATAAAATGAGCATTTTGGGCTGATAATAACGGAATGAAGTCACGAAGGGCCTCAGCTGAAACCGAGGCTCCCCTATCCACCATTAACCAGCAACATTAACTGGTAATCCTAGCAGTTATCCTTAGCACTTTATAGGCATTAACTAAATCTCACAACCCTCTTGTGAGGCAGATACTGTTAGCTGTGTTTTCCAAGGGAGGAAACTCTGTTAAAAACACTAAGAAGCAAATTGCTTAGAGTGTATCTGCCTAAGCCTTTGACTTTTCACAGTCATGTGGCAGGGAAAAAACAGGGACAGATAGATGGTTTCTTTTCCTCTACCTTGCCTTCCTCAGCTAAAAGGCTGCTTGGAATTTCAAAAACATTTTTGAAACATTATTATTACTACTATTATTTTAAATTTTTCCTTTTTGCCCAGGTCTTTGAAGAATTTAGACATCAAGAAAAATCTATCCCTGTAATTAAAATGTGAAACAAAAACTGTTTGTAGCAGAAAAACATCCCATTAATGTGATTTCCTTGTAGTGGATTGACAAGTTCAAAGCAGGAATGTATGTTGCCATGGCCACCAGATTGTATTTGCTCTGCTGGTTCAGTTGACTTTGCTGAAGGAGGAGGGTAGCATTCAGCCAGGAATCACTGAGCGTTATTAGAACAGATTTGTAATTTTTATGTAATACCTTCTCTTTATAGATCTACACAGATAACAGCTGCGAACTGTTTACAGTCACTTTAGGGACAGAGTTTTCAGAATCTCTCAGGAATATAAACTGCAGAAGGGGGCACAGGACAGTGCCTTTTCTCCCTCCTCAAACATCTCATCCATAACAAGCTGTAAATAAATATTTGTCAAAAAGATGGATGAATGGATGACTCATTATCATGCACCAGCTGCCTGAGTTAAACTTTGGGTTTATGGGGAGGGAAGTTGGGAAAATAAGTTGTAGTACAGAAGAAATGGAAGGGGAAAAGGGGGTGTCAGGAGAGAGAAGGAAGGAGGCATTCTGGAGCGGTTTGCAGTTGTTCAGACACAGGGGCGGAGGATTAAAGCTATCCTTCTGCAGTGACAGGGAGAGAGAGATTAGGAGTGGGTGAGACAGACACACGTACTGCTTTCCCAAGACAACTGAAGTCAAATACACAAAAAAGCAGTTAAATTTTATTAGCCTGATGATGCTCCCAACCTCCTCTAACTCTCTTGTTTTACTATGTTTATAGGGTCTAATAATAAGTGAGAAATAGGGGATGGGGGAAACCTTCCATATCTGGAGGGGCAGGAGTGGTTCCCTGATGTTGAGCCAAAGGATGAAGTTTTGCTTCATTTGTTTCACGTTATCAGGGCCAGGAGACTTTCATTTTGAATTATGCATTTTTCTTCCCTGACAAATGAAGCCTCCTGCCAAGGCCTTTGATCAGGAAAGGCTCCTGCTCCTCGCAGACAGCAGCAAGCATTCACAATGCAGAATGATGGTTCCGGGACTGCCACGGAAGTGGCAGTGTTTCATAGTGATTTTCTCCCTTCCTTCTCACTCCTACCCCGTGTTCAGTGTTGTCTAAGCAAATTCTGGCGGTGTCTTTCGTGTCTGCATGATGCCTACATAAGCAAAAGGCAGGATAAAGCAAATGTCTTCTAAATTTCCATTTCTCGTGGACACAGATTGTAGTTTCAGCTTGTTTGCTTGATGCAAATAAGCTGACAGATGTATATCTTCTGCAGCAAATCTTATGACTGGCATTGCTGCTGAATTGATATCTATTTTTCCTGGGGTGGGGGATGGGAATAAAGTGTCATACAAAATTACTTGGTGCTAATTCTCCCCACCTCTCTGCTTCACTCCTCCAATTCAGCCCCCAGGGCGCACTTTTCAGAGCTCTGGTCCCTAGAGGGCTATTGGCTTGGCTGCCCCAGGGTTCAGGGTCCCTGGGTATCACTTATCTTTTTAATTCCAAACTATTTCTCTCCACCCATTTCCTCCTCAGCGTCCACAACCACCAACTGCCACCAGTTACATCCTTCTCTCTGTTATTCTTTGGCCCTTGCGGGTAACTGTTTGATCATGTTAATCTGATAAACTAATTCACAACAAGTATTAATGGATGATAATAACAGAGGGTGTGATTTCTCCAATGTTCCAACTGAAATCCTCTAATGATAGAAAAAAAGTGAATGAGTATTTCTAATGGGGCTGAGGGCTGTAGGGTGGGAGACAAGGGTGTAAAGTTGACCGAAGAAAGGCCAAGGGAAACTGCTTAAAAGATCTATTTTAAATTACTTGCTGTTTAGGTTTCTTAATGCTCCAGCCCATCTGGAATTCCCAGCAGAATACACTCTCTACATGCCTGTTCATCCCGTGCTTTCGCAAACTCCCAGCACACTGCTGTGCACGTTTAAAGGTGAGCAGAGGTAAATCTTTAATTCGGATGAATAAATCTCCATTATCATTTAATCCACCTTTAAAAATTTTTATTAGTTTTAATATATGTTATAAAAGTAATATTTGCTTTTGTAAACTTCAGAGAATGCAGAAGAGTATCAAGAAAAATGTCCTCTTTTAAAATGTCCTCTTTTCTAAATTCTATTCTTGTTGGAGAATGCCACCAATAATAATTTGCTGATAATTTTTTTAGGGCTTTTTTGGGGGTAAATGCATATCATTATACCATCTATAAATTATTATAAATGAGTTAAGTACGTGTTTGTTTAAACTTCAGTCGGTACCCTAGGGCTGACTGGTTAATCTTTGATGTACCCTAATTAAGGTGAACATTCCAGGAACGGTCAGTTACCATTGAAAGACTAATCGGAAGGCCCTGCTCAGGAGGAACGAGCTCTCTAGTTATTTATTTTTTAGCATAGTTGGTACTAGAAATAATATTTCCTTAGTAAAATTATTCATGTTCGAATGTGTGAATTGATTAGAAATATTCTATTAGCATTTCTACCCTGGATGAACAGGGAATGAGAATCTAAAGTGTAGTCCTCTGCCATTTGACGGGCACACTAGGTTGAGGATTTTGTTCTGTCCTGTGGGCCCTTCTTTGAGCTATGAGCAGAGAGTGTATGTGCGTTTGTGCCTGCCTGCTGATAAGTCTCTGTCTCCTGATCACAAGTTCATGGTGAGACCTGCTTTCCTAGTACCAGATAACCCCTGGTGGGGCCGTCATGGGAGAAGAGCTCATTGCTATTGCCTACTTCTAACCTTTACAGCCTGTAGTTCTCTGTCAAAAAGAACCTAACAATTGAGAACAAATTGTGTTGGGTCCATTCCCAACACATACTTTGTTTAAAAAACAAAAAGAAATAGGGTCAAACACACACACACACACATACACATACACACACACGCTATTTGCTCAAGGTATATTGTTGAATAAATTTCTAATTATAGGAATTTAGGGTATCTGCAGGATACTGGTGCAAGAGAATTTTGGATAAGATGGACTTTTACAAATCTTCTTAAATTTCTAGCACGTAAGTGAACATTTGTCCTGCTGATGAGTTGAGTTCTCTCTTCAGAGCAGGCTAGGTATTTGAAAATATTTATTTTCTGATTTTAATAGTCAAATACATTAGTCATGAAAAGATTGAAAAACTCCAGAAGAAAATAAAAATCATCCATAATGCTCTCATTTGGATATAACAGTGTTATCAACAATTTGATGTGTTTCCTTCCTGTGTGTGTGTGTGTGTATGGACATCTGTACATACATACTTTTAAATAAAATCATACTGTAGGTACAGTTTTATGTTATGCTTCTTTCACTTATCATTATATAGTGAGTATATCCACAGATAACTCAGATGACTTGAAAGCATAATTCTGTAACTGTCTAATAAGTCCACCTTATAGATAACCATAGCTAAGCTATTTCCCCATCATTGGACATTTGCCTATCTAGATTTCCTGTTTCAGTATTATCATGTTGCGACACATTTCAGGTTTAAAGCTTTGCCTTCATCTCTGATGCTAGAATCCTGCATATAGTTTAGAAAGCATAGTTTATACATGACATATTTCAACCTTCCCATTCGTCTGTCATCCTCCAAAAATAAACAAACAGAAGCTCTGTGACCTCATGCTCTGTCATTTAGAAGTATTTGAAAGGCTTTTAGGAAGAAAATTAGAATGTTCTAAGGAAAAGTACTGTTAGTGTTACAAGCTGCGCTTTTGTTTGGGGGAGGAAAAAAAAGCCTCTTCATCATTCTCTTTCTGATGGCGAGTTTAGGAAGCAGGGTTTAGGATTCCAGTTAGACTTAACCATCAGAGTAGCTCCTTGCTCAGAGTTCTGCTCCAGCGCCATCTCTCTCAGTGGATCTGGCATGTCCTGCCAGTACAGTGCCATCCACTGAGGCACATCGCTTCAACTACTGAGCTCAAACGATTCCTTCCTTCTTCATTCCTGCTTTCTGTTTTTGAGGGGAAATAAACATTTCAAGCTTTTGTGTGGCCCCCAGCAGGTGCCCGTGGCATCCATGGAGCATCCCAGCCCCAAGCTCTGCAAAGTAGGAGTGAGGCGGAGCTAACCACTGTGCTTAGGGGTGAAGCAGAGAGAATTCACAGCTGTTCCCTGCCAGCCCTCTCATCTCATGACTCTGTGAAGTGACAGTTTCCATGGGCTCGAAGTAGATGGTAGGAAGATGTTTAGAGTCCTCTGACCCTGGAAGCTGCTATTTAAAGTGCCACCAAGATGCACCCATCGGCTCTGAGCTAGTTACACATACATTTTAAAGAGCTGACCTTTTCCCTTTCTGTCTCTTGTACCCCGTTGTGAGTGCTGTGGGTAGTCAGCAAATAATAACTGATAATAACCCTTTCCTATTCTTTCAAACCTCTACAGAAATGCAAATCGCTGCCTTCAGAAGAAAGCACACAGGCATATGAATTTTATATCAGCAGGGATTACCAATGAGTCATGCTTGATGTTGTATAAACTATTCAGGTGGGAAGGCTCGCACTGCAATAACAGAATACGATGGGGAGTATCTCTCTTTCCTGAATGTTCAATTATCAGAGAGCACACAATACACACACATCCCAACCCACAAAACCAGACAATTACCTAAAATATATGCCAAAATCCCCACAGGGAGGAAAGCTAAACTCTTCAAAATCAAACAGTTGTCACAATGCAGAAGAGAAAAAACTCCAGAAGGTGGTAAGCAGAGTTAATACCTGAGCCAGTGCCAGAACTCATGCAGATGTGTGTTATTTATGCCCTTAATTGTTATTTCCAGTAGGTGCCTGGCTGCCAGTGCACATGAGCTAAGTACTGTAAAATAACAGATGTCACACATCACAAGAACCATAGGGAGTCGACAGCAGCAGCAGCGTAAATCCGATTACCTTCGGTACTAGGGAAAAAGAAGAGAAAGTATACAAAAATGGATGAGACTGTGGCTGTAATTTATAAAACAAATGATCCCATTCAAATATGTTCTACACTAATTATGTATCTGCACTGAGTATACTAAGAAACAAGCCATCTTGGGATAACAGCCTATTTGGGTAACAAAGTTTCCCTTCATTTTTAAAAGGACAAAGAGAAGGGGAGAAAGAGAGAGAATGAATGAGAGGCAACAAAGGGAGAAAACCAAGTCAGCCAGTGACATTTTCCAGAGAAAAGCATGTGGGATGCAAGAAAAAGATGGAGAAAAGCCTTTGATGTCAATTTAAAAGCATCATTAATGATCTGACAAGGAGAAGATGTTCCATTGAGGCTTATAATTTAGCACCAAATGATGGTGCTGAGAGCACTGCAGACTGTGAGCTTATAAAGACTGAAGGGAGCTCAGAGATTTGAGGAATAAAAGAAAAGAAAAGAAAAAAAATTTTAAAATACAGGATTCAATCGGAAAAAGTGAGCACAAACACATCTGGGGAAAATAATCTTAAATAAAGATACCCAGTTGGAGAAAAACTGTGTAAACCTGGACATGGATTCAAAGCAGAGAGCAAATCCTATCAGAATTGCAAGGTATTACAACAGGTCCATAAGGTGAGGGCTCCCTCTTGGGGTTTTAAATGCAAAGGTGTCTCATTATGAAGCATTGACAAAGGGACTCTTTTCCCTCTCTACTAACAGAATGAGAGTCTTCTTACATTGCTGAAGGAACGAACCCCGTTCACAATATAGAGTACATTTGGGGTTGTGTAAATATGCACATGTGGCTGAAACTGTTCTGACTCTGTCAATTCTAAGTCAAACAGTTTAACAGAAACTTGATTATGCCAGCCTATAGCTTTCAGAGCTTAAGGAACTATTTAATAACAATAGCATCTAATAAGTGCCAGGCACTGTTGTAAGCCCTTTACAAGTGTAACTAAATCCTCATAACCCCAAATATGTGCAGTTGTTCTCCTCCTCAGCGATGGGGAAACCAGGGTGCAGAGCTTAATGGAACTTCCTAAAGTCATACATTTAAGAAAGGATGATTCTGAGATTCAAACCCGGGAAGACAGTCTCCCGAGTTCACAACCCTTTAGCCCTACACAGGACTTCTGACTGTGGGCAGAAAAGGAGGCTTACCCCACAACTCCCTTCAAGAGTTTATCTCTGAATGGGACTGGAAGGGCTGATGATACACGGCCAGCCTATACCTTTCAGCCTCCTTTATGCCTTCCTGCCTGCTCACTCCCAAACATCCAGTTCTCCTCTAAAGGTGATCTAAGTGGTCCATGGGGCACAGGGTCAGTGGTTAAATTTTGTGGCTCCAGCACCTGGACCTTTCTCATCTTTGGCCCATTGAGCTGCTATGGTCTCTGAGAGACATGGACATGCCGGAGACCATGAAGAGCTGAAAACGATCTAAGGATCCCTCATAACTTTTGTCACTTAGTTGAGAAATTAAGACTAGTTCACTCGAGGAGGCTGTTTAAAATAGCTGCAGTAATATAATTTTTGAAATGTACTCCGTGCAAGCATATGTAAGAATATACATTATTTATGAAACACCGGTGTCTTTGGAGGCACCCTTTGTCTGCCCAGAATCTCGAAGTCAAATGCCCCCGTGAGTGTTTTGAAGGAATCAATAAAATTGTGACTGTGGAAGAATGCATTTCTCACTGGGCTGCCACAGTGCTAATCTGTTTTCCTCCCTGTGTTGAGTCTCCCACCATTAGAGTTGTGACTTTGTATTAGACAGCAAAAGCGCAGTGCCTCTGGAAGAGCATTATTTAATCCATGTGCAAAGCAGGGTGAGTGTCTTGTAACTGATCGAGTTCCCCTCTCTGCACTGGACCTGTGAGCCTTAGAGTCAGAGTTGTAACCCAGCCTTGGTAAGTGTATCATTCCTTATTCTCTCACCATCTTTCCTATTCTTACCATCTGCCCAGTTTCTTGACTTATTATTTTACTGTTATGGGCTGCATTGTACCCCTCTAAAATTTGTATGCTGACGTCTTAACCCCTTGTACCTCAGACAGTGACTGTATTTGGAGGTAGGATCTTTAAAGGTGATTAAGTTAAGATGAGGTTGTGAGGATGGGCCTTAATCCAATATGGTTGGTGTCCCTTTTATAAGAGAAAATTTGGACCCAAACACGTACAGAAGGAAGACCGTCTGAAGTCACAGAGGGAAGATGGTCATCTATAAGCCAAATAAGAAGAAAACAGTCTGAATTGCGGGGAAATAAATTTGTTTTTTAAGCCTCCCAACCTGTGGTTCTTTATCATGTCTGCCTGTGAGGGACTGAGTTGGGCCGCCCAAAGCCAGGAAGACATGCCTCACCAGAAACCAATCCTGAAGGCGCCTTGATCTTGAACTTCTGGTCTCAAGAACTGTGAATAAATTAATTTCTGCTCATAATTATTAAGGCCTTGTTTCTCTGAGTGGGTCTTAACAAGTCCATGGAAATGAACCTTGCTTTTTGAGGATGGAGCAGAGGGACCAGGAAACCAAGTCAGAGCTCCACCCTGGCACTGCTGTTTGGGACATTTCTGCCATTCAGTGCAACGGACTGAATGTTTGTGTCCCCCAAATGCATGTGTCGAAATCTTAATCCTCAGTGTGGTGGCATAAGGAGGAGGGCCTGCGGGAGGTAATGAGGCCGTGGCCCTCATGAACGCGGCAAGTGTCCTCGTACAAGAGGGTCTTGCTCTCTTTCAGTCACGTGAGCATTTGACAAGTAGTCGGCAGTCTGCAACCTGGAAGGAGGCTCTCCCTAGAACCTGTCCATCTTGGTGCCCTGGTCTGGGGCATCCAACCACCAGAACTGTGAGAAATACATTTCCCTTGTTTATGAGCCAAGCAGTCTGTGGTCTTTTGTTAAAGCAGCCTGAACTAAAGCACGCGAGACAGAACTCGGCCTCTTCAACTCTTGCATGGCAGCCTGAGAAGTGACCCAGCCAGTGATGGGCCCAAAAGACTCATTTTAATGTGAACCTGCTGCCAGCCACATCCACCCTGAGCCACAGTGTGCTAATCACAAGGATAATCTTCCCTGGGACTGGGGGTGGGGTTGGAGATTGGATAGACTATGCATTTGGTACCGCTTATTGATTCTTTCACTTCCCCTGAGAAATACCTTTCCCCCTTTCAAGAGACTGAGACTGAATTCTCAATTCAGCAGGTTTATGTGACAAGGTCAGAAGGATTATGCTCAACATTTTATCCTTGTTTCACATCTCCTGGCTCACACAGAGGTCATCCAGAATGAGAGGCTGGAAATAAGTTGATAAAATTAATATCCAGAGAGAAATAAGTTCTAAACAGAATTGTGTGCCCGATTCTGCCTACTCTAGGTGTCTTCAGTCAGTCAAGTGAGACACCTGGTATAGGTATTCAAGTATAATAATACCTAGATTCATTCTTTAGTTATATTTTCTATAGATTTATTATTTAGTATATATAAAGACTTGCTATACACACACACACACACACATACACACACACACATAGAAGAGAAGGGAGAGAGAGAATGTATTGAAGAGAAAGAGAGAGCAAGAGAGAGCAAGAGAATTTATTGGAGGGATTCATCACAGATTATATAGGCTTTGACACGTGGTGGCTTCTGCACAATCCCAGAGTGGAGACAAAAACAGGCTGGTAGGCAGGCTGGTAGGTCTCCAGGCAGTGGAAACTATCTGACCGTCTTTTACAGGGTCTGCCCCTGGAATGCATGTGCCCCAGACTTTGTTTTTTAAACTATCTTTGTATCACTCTTCTCAGTGTTCAAAGTCCAAGAAGAGAGGGTCCCGTTCCATGACTTGGTGTCAGATCCCTGATTAAGGGAAGGTGCAGTTGCACTGTGACTTCAGAGTGGTGAGGGAGTAATTCCTCTAAAGGGAATTAGGGTAATAGTAGAAAGAGGGAATGAGTCTCGTTCAGCCAAACAATAATAACAAAGACAACTATAATGACAACAGAAGTCCACTAGCTTCTAAATCCTTCTTGCTCTGAATCTGGTGATCTGCCCAGGGTGACTCCTTTCCAGTGAGTCCAAGCTGTTCTTGGCACTCTGTCTGAAAGATGATGTCTACCTCTTGCTTTAAAATCTATATTATTGACATAAAGAGTTGTTAGTGTGTATTTAAGCTCTGGCCCAGAGCATAGTTTTAAGGACTGAATTACCATCTGCTGATTTTCTGGGTACAGTGTCTTATCACTGTCTTTTGGACTGTGCTGGATGCCTGCTTTGCTAGTTTATGGAGGAGCAGGGTTGCCTCTCTGCATCTTTCCCTGTGCTTTTAGCTGGCTGCTCTCTTGCTGGACAATCAGGCTACTCTGCCGCAAGGCTGTGTGATGAGGACTTGCAACTCTTCTTGGTGGGAATAGCATTTAGTTTTGGTTTAATCACAGCTTGTCCACATCATGTAGGCTAGCACATGTTACGGGGAAAGGAGGAATATTCTGAGAGTTCACAGTACTCTCAGGAATTATTTTTCTCAAATTAATTAGCTGTCATTTTGAAGGGGAGGCAGAGTAGTGATAAACGGTGGGTGGATAGGTAATGGCAGGAAATGTATAGGAAGGCCACCTTCATGGGTCCCTGAGCAGCCCCAGGAATGCAGGGGTCTGGAATGACAGGGCTTCCTCGCTTCACTGTCAGAGCATTTATGTTCATTCTCACCTGTCATCACTTCACATCCCTTAATAAGTACCTAGAATCCTTGTGCTCTTTCTCAGTTCTTGTCAGAGCGGACAGAAGGTAGTCTGATAAACACCAACACACACCAAGGTGCTGGGACCTGGGTGTGCTGCTCTCCCAAGGAGAAACTGCATTTTAAAGTAGTAGGTAGGTAATTTATAACACAATGGAATAAATTCTTTTTGTGGGGTTTTAGTTGACATATTTGTGGGGAAAATATTACTGGACAATGGGGGTCTTCTTCATATCCTTAAAAAATGCACCTTACTGGCCATTTCCTGATTCTGACCATGTGCAACCTTAGCTGGGGCCATACAGCTATTGTGGAGAGGGGGACATGACACTGATCAAGAGAGGGGGCCCAGCTTCATTTGTCTGCAAAGCAAGTTCTGTGCTTTCAGCAAGGGTTAGTGGAAGAAGCCACTGGAAAAGATGATTTGAATGACGTTTAGCTAACAAAATGCCCTCTCTTAGCTCTCCTTAACCCCAGGAAAGATCACAATTTTTTATACTTTTTATAATCAAAGACCAAAGCAGTCCACATACAGTTAGAGAGCCTGTGCAGATAAACCATAAACTGGTTGAGAGCAATGATTATACTTTCATCTCCTTTGTATAACACCATCCACCTTCATTATTCAATTCATTCAGCAAACATTTATTGAGCACCTACTATGTGCAAGGAACTGTGCTAGATGTTAGTGGTTCTACATGATTAAGATGTGGTTCCTCTCCTTAAAGTGCTCAGAGCCTAGTGAGGAAGACAGATGGGCGCACAATAGTTGTAAAACAATGTGTGAAGTGCATTCCTAGCTGTAGGAATAAATCACTGTCTTATCACTGAAGAGGAAGAACTAATTCTGTCCAGCTTTAGAGACACTCTGGCATTTGAGCTGGTCCTTGAAGGACAAGAAGGTTTCTCAGCATCTCATTAGGCTGGCATCCTGAATAGAACAAATGTTAAATAAATGTCATTTTCTAACAATCTCAGAGAAGGAGGAAACTAGAATTCCTTGTAAGTCAAGTCCATTGTTGTTTCTACCAGTTTTTGCTTGGACTGAGGTTGAATCAGTTCATCTCATTAATGAGACTTATGTATGAAAAAAAAAAAAGACTCAAATGAACTTATTTACAAAACAGAAACAGGCTCACAGACATAGAAAACAAACTTATGGTTACCAGGGGGAGAAGGGATAAATTGGGAGTTCAAGATTTGCAAATATTAACTACTGTGTATAAAATAGACAAGTTTCTTCTGTAAAGCACAGGGAACTATATTCAATATCTTGCAATAACCTATAATGAAAAAGAATATGAAAACAAATATATGTATGTAAATGGATGACTGAAACATTATTCTGTACACCAGAAATTGACACAACATTGTAAACTGATTCTACTTCAAAAAAAAAAAATGAGACCCTCTACGTGTGTCTAGCATGGTATCATTTGGCCACATAATCAGAGTTCCTGAGATTATCACACAGACACGTTATAGGAGTTGAAAACTTGACATATAATGGATGCAAATGTAGTTAGGTGTTGAAAATTGCCATCTGTCCTTTTTTTGCGTATGTGTGCCTTCAAGGGTTTATATTTTTAAGTTATAGTCTTGATACCATGCTCATAGCCTCAGTAATTCAACCCAAGTACATTCTGATGGATAACTGAAATGTATTACCATGGTGGCAATTAATCTAGCACCACTGAGAAGTCAACTCTAGCACTGCAAATTTTAGATTGTATAATAACATTTCTATTAAACTGGGTTTTTTGTCCCCCTAGTGAGTTATTCATTAACAATCATGATATTGGATATTTGCAAAATAAATGAGAGAAGCCCATCTCAAATTCTTTGTGTAGTCTTAGTGATTTGATTTTTAACCGTAACTATCACACTATTCTGACGTATTGAATTTCTTTTTTCAGGCACTCTAAAAAAACTAACAACTGAATGTTGTTTGAAAAAAAACTGACTGGCTCCTCCCATCAGCTGTTTTTGTCTGCACCTAGATGATGCCATGCATCTGGATGAAGAGAACAAATCCTACCAACTATCAGGTATTTTATAAAGATCTGAATTTGAATGATATACAGAAACAATGAATGATTTAATCTGTCAAATTCTATTTAAACCTGATACTGGGTATAAGCCTTTGCTGTTCACTGTGAAATAGTGAAGATTTCAGAAATAGTGAAATTCTAATTTTTACCACAAGGGGGAAGTAGAACACTGAATGAAATGGAGCCTCATGAAAAATGTAGTATATTTGTGTTTAAAAAAACAAAACAAAACAAACTATTCTGTAGCAAGATATAACTTAAAAAAAAAGGTGTTGACTAAAATTTAGTTTTCTTTGTGGCTTTGTAGTCACATGAACTTCAGCCCCTTCATCATTTGTAAATTTGCTACAAATTTCACCTCTGAACTAAACATAGTTTACAAAATAGACAGAGAAAAGGAGTAACAAGTATCAGTGAAGGGAAGTACCTTGCGTTTCATCTTGAATGGTGGCAGGTAAAATCTCAAGGATTTTGGGGTGACTGTCAGTTTTCTAAAGATGGCTGGTTGGCTGGCTGGGAAGTGTTTATTTTTCAGGCCGCAACATCCGTGGAAAATAGATCAGCCAAGTAATCACATGATATAGTTCCAGCAATTCAACAGGGCCTCGACTTCTTTGAAAATATTTAATCTGCTTTTCTGGTCTTGTTTGTTCTTCTGGGAAACCTTCTAATTCTTGTCGAGAACATTTTATGTGTATGTTGTGTCTTTTTGAGCACACTGTCACTTGAAGCGGACCTGGGCCTTTTGTCCTCTGCTTTACCCTTACAGCCCCGTTTAGATACTACAGTGCTTGTCGGTTAATGTGTGCACCCGAACCTTCATAACTGCAGACAAATGAAAATATTGGTGCATATGCTATTTAGTGAGTAATGCTTGCTAAAAATATTAGTCGTGATATACAATGAGGACCAGGGAATGGCTTGGTCTGAATCATTCAGCCTGTATGTCTGTAATCATTAATTAAGTGGAATTTGGTTACTTGTCTGTAGTTCTTTTGTCTCAGTGGAAGAAAGAACGAGCCAGTCACCGTGCTGGGTGTCAGCAGACTTCTAACTGTTTTGGTCACGGGTTGAGTGGGTAAATTGTAGCACTACGACCTTCAGCTTTCCAGGGCAAGATGAAGATATAGCCACACTCACCTAAACAGACCCACTGACAATGACAACTTGCAGCAAGAACAACCAAATCCTTTGTAAATGTACAGTGCTATAAATACATTTAGTAAAGAGAATCAGTTCCATGTTGTGGGTTTTATTGGTCAGGTCTACTTCTTTGCAAACCACACCTCTGAAAGTAGAAGAATTATAAGAAGAAATGCATGGATGCTCTGCAGACAATACAACGGCCAACCTTTGAAGATTAAAGCTGGCTATTTACCAGCATGGCATAATGAGTGTAAGATTTTATATGGTGTCCGTTCTAATTGCTTAACAAATCAACGTGGGCAAAGCAGTTAATCTGGTAGGCCCCATACACTCTGCCACTGATTCCTTGATCACAATAAGCAACACACGCATCCTTCAGGGGATCTGGAAGTGTGTGTAATCCCTGCAAAACAAGCTGTGAGATTCCAGTTTCTAAATCATGGTGTTCTCTCTAGCCTGGGTCGAAGTCCAGAACACACCGTAGGGCTGTAGGAAGATACTGGATTCTTCTCTCATGTTCCAACCCTAGTTTCAGGGCACTGAATAGAAAGGATTCCCTTATGACGACCACTGCGAGAGGGTTTATGAAATGTTTTGAGTGACTCAGTTGGAGGCGTGATATTCCACCTGTTGGCATGCTCTTCTCAGTGCAATATTTTCAAAATAATATTTTTTTTAGAGGTGAGGAGAAATGAAAGCACCCTGTTTGACCTATAGAATTTTCTCTTGAATGATCCATGCTTACCAAGATGGCTGTTTCTAGTATCCCTGTCTGATGGTAGTTTGTAGCTGCAGTTGGTTAAAGAGGGACAGGTCACAACTGCTGGATGAGGCTGAGCACAGGCTCCCAAAGCAGCATCAGACATCTACCTGCTGGTCCTGGCTGTAGGGCTCGACCTCTTAAACATTGGTCCTCTGTCTCCTTTTACCCCTTCCTTGATGTTTGGCTGATTCCTTTCAGTTTCATGTTCATTTTGGCTGTTTCCTCGTTTCTAGCCAGTGCTCCTGAGGGGTTCTGGCAAAAGCATGAACTGTGAAGTCTGGTTGTCTGGATTTGACTCCGATTCCACCACAGTCTGAGTCTCAGTTGTCTCTCCCTAAAACAGGGATAGATCCTATCTCAAAGGTTGCTGTCAAGATATGCTGAGATTAACACAACTCCTGACAGGTATTTTTGCTCAGCACATGCCAGTTGTTGTTCTGATTGGATGTCTGTGCTTTTAGCTCAGCCCTGTGTTACTTTGGTTCCACCTGTGCTGCTTTGTCCTGCCTAATTCTGTGGCACTGTTGTCTTACCCCAGCTTTTCCTGAGCTGGATGTGTTACTGAACACTCAGTGAGGCCAAAGAAAGTAAAACGTCAGTTTGGAACAGAGGATGTTTTATTTCAGGGCCAAGCAAAGAAAATGGGTGGCTTATGCTCAGAAAACCCCCAAACTCCCCGATGGTGCTCAGGGAGTTTCTGTATGCAAAGTATGGGGTGAGGGCTGCATGATGTATGACCTTCTTCGGATTGGTTGGTGGTGAGGTAATAGGGCGGTGTTCCAGGAATCTTGTGCTCAGCCTGAACTTACCATCCTCCACCTGGGTGGCGGGCCTCAGCTCCTGCACAAGAACTCAACAATATTGCCATGTATATTCCTTGAGGAGGAAGCTCAAAAAAAAGAAGGATCCTGCTTTAATTGCTGCATTATAGTTTCTTGACTGTTCCTCCTTGGTTTCTGCATTCCCTTACCTTCCTGACTAGTAACTTTGAATCTGCCCTTTGGTATTCAGAAAGGTTGAAGAGGTTGAACCCTTTTCCCTACAAACAAGGAACTAGGGACATGGAACGGCTTTGTACCCGGGAGGGCTCCACAGGGTCCTGCTCAGTTTCAGGCGCATCTTCTGCTACTTTTATAATCCCCTTGCTTCCTCTCTTGGGGTCAGGGCTCCTTGGGTTAGGAAAGCTCCTGCTTCTCTATTAGCACCAATATCATTGTGCTCCAAACTCAGATAAGAACAAATACTCCTCAGATTTCACCACATAAGGGACCAGATGGGCAGTGGAACTGACCCACTGGTTTTGTCATCTGAGTAAACACTATATATGGATCACCTTCTGAAAGATTTAGAAATCGATGTTCATTATCAGTGTGGTTTAACGTGGCTGAATCTGTTGCCTATTGTCCCACTTACTACTCATTGATTAATTGATGGTATGACCTCAGAATCCCTATTTCGTGAACAATTATTCCACCCCCAGCAAAGTGGACATTAAACTTCTTTTGTCTCCAGCCAAATTTTGCGTGCAGCCGTTATCTTTTAATTTTTTTATGCCTTCTTTTAGAGAAACCTCATTCAGTTTATTAACTTGAAATATTTTCTGTACCTTAAAGCCAACTAATTTTGCTGTTCTATAGGTTAGAGAGGTCAGGCTTCTGGGGTCTGGAAGAAGCAGGCAACAAAGCTCAGAGAAGTTATTTCCTGCTCATAGAGCTGGTGGATGGAGGGTTTCCTTCTCCTGAGGCTTTGTAGGGCACATTTTGGCACTCTAAAGAATTGGCAGGGGAAAAATGTAGGGTTAAATAATGAGGAAAATTGCACAGCAAACAAAAAAGCTTAGAAAAAGATTTTTAATCTATGGAATAAGGTATAGCAACGTGGCTTTATTTTCAGATGAATCAATCTTAGCCTGTCCTTTAACAATATAGGTCAGTGAGGAACCTCAATCTCCATTAATTTGAATTTCTGTGCTACATCACTCTAACCAATGGTTTGTTCTTTGGTCCCATGAATGAGCTGAGGATGGGGCCTTTAATATAAAATGTACTGATTTTGTTGGATTCTATTGCATTTTCATGCTGCTAAAAAGTCTTTTCATGTTCCAATTCCACTGTGTTTTCAATGTCAGATTTCTTTTCCTTTCAAAAGGAAAAGGGTCTCCAGTGGAAGTTTATGAAAGCTGACACATTTTCTTGTAAAATACCCTTCTGAGACCATATGGTTTATTGGTAAGCACATATTTTTGGGCCTTTTAAAATGAGTGTTATAAAATTACTGTGAGGTGTTTTTAGAAAAGTGAATGCTATTGAGTCAGTAGGGCAGAATGCCTGTCTTCTTTGTGGTTGTTACTCTTTATAATTCCCTGCAAAAGACATTTTCAGATAATTAAAAAAGGTATTTGGAGCAAAAATACTTATCAAAAGAGGTTATATAACACATGCATGGCAGCCACTTGTCAAAGTTAAATACACCCATTTCTTTCCCCCCAAAGCCATTAGATCTATTACCACCTAATTGCTTGGAAAATTCATTTTCTTTTTTCAAATCACAGCCTTAATTGAGGTCTGAAATCTCACCAAGTGCCTCTTAAATCAGTAAACCTAACTTTTTTTAATTCTTCTATAATTTATCTTTGTGACTGAAGGCATATTTTTTTCTATGAGACAGTTATGGCAATCAGTACTAGTAAGAAAAAAAAAAGACCTCTTACTTTGAGAAATAAGAAAACTGGGAAGCATGTCTCATGTTTCTGATAATGTACATTGAAGCCAAGTGTTCATAGCAAAGTGAACGAATATTGATGCAAGCATACTGTCTCCTCATACTGAAACCAAGACTTTTAACCAGTTTATGTGGGGGTTTTATCCTAAATGTCAAGATGAGAAACACAAATCTGTTCCTCGTTCTGGCTATGGAAATATGCCCTTCTTGTCGCCATCAAGAGTATCAAATGTATAATATACCCAACCTTATTCCTTGTTAGATAAGCCTCGAAGAATGCACATAACAAGAAATTTTCAACTTCGGTTTATGATGTATCAGGCATCAGTGGTGATTAGAATATCTAAATTGGTGTCTGAAACCAGAT